TTTTTTTTTTTACTTTATTAAGTATAATTAATACCATGAATGCACCAAATATTAAATTTTTTTGACTTCATGCGTAATTCTAGTAGATCAAGACAAGGTAGCAATTGTGATAACAACATGACAAAGTTCTTGACTTCATGCGTCACAGATTTTGTTGACTTCATGCCTAATTCTACCTTGTCATTCTAATTTTTTCAAGTGTTCAACTAAACATCTAGCTAGATTTTTAGTGTAGCTAGATTTTTGTATAAAAAGAATATATATCACAATCCTTGATATAAAAAATCACAATTTTATTATCATAAAAAATCACAATTTCAGAGTGTAACATTTTACTCTTATTCAGAGTAAAATTTTACTTTCATACAGAGTAAAGTTTTACTTTCATACAGAGTAAAATTTTACTTTTAGTTTCAGAATGTAAAATTTTACTTTTATACAGAGTAAAATTTTACTTTCATACAGAGTAAAGTTTTACTTTCATACAGAGTAAAATTTTACTTTTAGTTTCAGAATGTAAAATTTTACTTTTATACAGAGTAGAATTTTACTTTCATACAGAGTAAAATTTTACTTTTAGTTTCAGAATGTAAAATTTTACTTTTATACAGAGTAAAATTTTACTTGCATATAGAGTAAAATTTTACTTTTAGTTTCAGAATGTAAAATTTTACTTTTATACAGAGTAAAATTTTACTTTTATACAGAGTAAAATTTTACTCTGAAATATATAGTGAAGATGACTTAATAGGAGAGCTGATGATATGAGGGTAATATAGTAAAAGAAACAAGTTTTAAAATGTTAGGGGGTTTTGAAAGTACTTATATAATTCTTGTCATTTTGAAAGACAAATTAGATAGTGAGGGGGCTATCACCAAATCCCCCATTAGAAAATTGAAAAAATGAACCACAAAAAGGACATTCATGTAAACTCAAATGACACCAAATCAAATAAATACAAATTTTCAAAATAAAAGGACTAATTGATTCATAAAAAAACTCATAGAACTAAATAGATCAACATTCTCCCCTATAAGATTTATGGATAAATTTTCTAATATATAACTCAAAACTAGTTTGAAAATTTATAACTAAACAAATTTTTAATTTTCAAAATTCTTTTTAAAACTCAAAACCCAAAATTGATTTCAAAACTAAACCAAACGCAACTCATTCAAAACAATAAATTTATGTAGCTCTTGCTCTATTTGGTTCATTGGAATGAGAGAGAATGAAATGAAATATGGAATGTTTGGTGGAAATTATTTTAAGCTAAAAGCTCAAAAAATAGAAATTCAATTTTTGAAAAAATAAAATTTTTCAACATATTTAAATTATTTCTATCTAATAAGAAGTTACACCAAATAATCTGACATAAATTTCTATATTAAAATAAGTTATAAGCTATTTCTATAATCCTCACCAAACATCCCATAAATTGATATAAAATAATTCCATTTATAATATATTTATCATTATACTTTTAGATCTTGTTTAGGAACAGATTACTTTAATAATTTTTTGATTTTTTTTTGAAAATACATAAAAAATAAAAATAAAAATAATGATATGATAATTTATAATAATTTTTTAACTTTTTAAAAATTTTAATTTTTTTTTTTGACTAAATTAAAAGTTACCAAATGAGACCTTAATGAATATTTTGCTTAAATGATAAATTTTCATTCCATTGCACCAAACCCTACTTGTCTTGGTATGCATAATAATTGGTAAAAGAAAACCCTTTCTGAATCTCTCAACTCTTTTGATCTGGTTATAGGTTTTCTTACAAGAACGTCACTGCTCCTCCAGTAGGGGAACATTTGCAGAAGCTGTCTTTATCAGGTATAGCAATCTCGTTATTTTCTTCTTATCCTCTCCTCCAGTGGGGGTTTTCAACTACTTGAGCCTCTCTTTATAGGGCTTTGACAACTTTGATGATTGATTCTGGAATTTGATTCAAATTCAAATATACATAACAATATGTCATTGGGTTTCCTTTTTATTTGTCAATTTTAAAGGGATTTTGTTACAATTCTTCTTGATTGAAGAAATTAGTTAGTTCACTCTGTCCTTAGCTATGTTGCATCACTGTTACAGACACTGTTTTTTTCAATTTCTTTGATTGTAATAGAATTTGATTCAGTAATAGTATTCATTTGCCTTTATTAATTGTAAAATGACTTCCCTTCTTGTGTTTTTTTATTTTATTTTTGTGGGCTTTGGCTAGTGGGATTTTTTTTCATGTTAGTAGGTTGTTCAGAGCATATATTTTCTTGCCTTGAAATTTTTACATGAGTCTCAAAGTTGTAAGGGGTTTATATAGCTGTAGTTTCATACAGTTTGTTCTATTTTTAAAGGGCTGAGGCATTGTTGACAGACAAGAGTATGAAAATGGGTTCGGCGAATGCCTCCAGTGATTTGTCATCAGAGGTGGAGGTGGATGCTTTTAGACGCCTCTTTCCTCTACGCTTTCATGAGCGTCATCTACTTGAGTCCATACGCCCTGATGCCAGGCCACTTGGAAAAGCTAGAGATACAACGCTTGCGCTTGGTTAGTTTAGTTGTGTTCCATTTATTTTAAAATTGCACTATTCATCCCTAATTTGGGGTTAGCTAAGTTCCTGTTTTCGCTTGAATTGAACCCTTTGTAATCCAGGAGCTGTTGCATCTGCTGATGGGTCAGCCCTTGCCAAGATAGGTTGCACTGTAAGTGCTTCCTGCCCATTGTCTGCTCTCTCTCTCTCTCTCTCACACACACACTCACACTCACACTCACACTCACACGCATGCACAATATGAGGATTGATGTTTTCTTAAGGTTAGATAGGTTGTTTATAGGAAATTCTAGTTTTACATATGTTTTTTTAGATATTAAAAAATATGAATTGTTGGCTCTTTGTTATACACCAAGTCAGACTCTTGAATCTTTTGTCCTTGTGCAGACCATGTTGGCTGCCATTAAGATGGAAATCATGACCCCTACCACAGAGTCACCAGATGAGGGCTGCATAGGTTGACTACCATCTATTGCATATATGTTTTTTACCTTTTTCATTTTTGTATATGGGATCCCAATGGCTAATATCTGTTATTTACAGCAATTGATTTCCATATGCCTCCAATTTGTTCTCCAATTGTTAGACCTGGCAGGCCAGCTGAGGCAGCACCAGTTGTGTCGAAGCAGTTATCTGACACTATCTCAAGGCATGCTCTCTCTCTCTCTCTCTCTCTCTCTACACTAAGAAAAAGAAAAAGATGAAAGACAAAAGGTTGTTTCAGTCTTATTATTCGTCTGTTCTAAAGTTTCTAAATTATGAGAGACTGCTATATATATATATATTTATATATTTTGTATTGGTTTAGTTTCGCTTCTATCTTGCTTTTGGCTGCACTAAAAAGGAATACATATTTTCATTATTTAATGCATATGCTTTTTGTGAATCTAGTGTGTTCTATACATTTACATCAAAGGCAATTTAGTCACTTATCTACCAAAACTTTGATTATGTATATTGCCAATTCTAACTTGTTTACATGATTCAATGTCTCATGGTATAGAAGTATTTTGTGTGAAAGTTCACCCCTTTGCATGGATGGAAGTTCTGTTGTCATCAAACTTCAAGATATGATCAGTCAGTCAGATAGCCTTGCCATGCACCTGGCAAAATAAAGGATTGAAACTTCATAACCTGTCTTAGCAGCTGTTGGTTCTTATTAACCCAAGTATGAACAACATTTTTTTTTTTCAAAAAAGAAAAAACTGCTTGGTGATTGTTTATTGGTGTTATTGGACTTCGACTTTTGAAAAGTAGTATATTTATGTGGATTGCTTTCATGAAACCTGTGGTAGTTTTTGGTTTGTTGTACTCATGTGAAGTAAATTAGATAATGAGAGGCAAAATGCGATAAATCATCTGTTTCTCCTCTGCAGCTCCTTGCATTTATTAACTTCTGGGACATTGTGCATATTTTTCATATGATTTTTTATGTCCTGCTGTGTGTGTGAGGTTTATTGCAGTAATATTGACATGCTTGTTTTCAGACTAATAATGATCTTACATTTTTGCTTGGAACATTGTGTTAATAGAGAAGTGAAAATTGAAGATCAAGAGATAACAAATAGCTAACATTTTTGTTATCTAGGTTGGAGATGATGTGATCCATAGAATTAAAGTAGATTGGTTCAATTGGAGGAGTGCGTTTGACATATTGTGTGATTGATGTACCAAAAAAATTGAAAGAAAAATTTATAGAACATCTATAGCTTGTAAGGCCAGCAATGTTTTACGGGACATAGTCTTAAGCAATTAAGAAACAATACGTTCGTAAATGAGTGTAGCTGAGTTGAGTTTGCTTACATAGTTGTCTGGTAAGACTAGGACATATGGAATTATAAAAGAATATATTTGTGAAATGGTAGGAGTAGTACCAATTGAAAATAAGTTGAGAAAGAACAAACTAAGATGGTCTGATCATGTATAATGAAGACTAGTAGACGCAACGTTAAGGAAGAATGATACGATCACCATGGGATGTGGTAGTAAAAAAAGATTTGAATTTATTTATTTAGTTGAGCTTATAACCCTAGACAGAGCAGAATGGCGGAGAAAGATTTATGTAGCTGACCCCACTTGAATGGGACTTGGACACAAGGTTTAGTTTGGTTTGGTTATTGTGTTAATTCTTAATTGTTTGATATATGTGTCCTTAACTTACTAACTATTTGGGTGATTGTAGTTCTGGCATGATTAATTTGAAGGAGTTATCCTTGGTGAATGGGAAAGCTGCTTGGATGGCCTACCTGGTAATGGTTTATGAGATTTGAACACTTTATTTCATTTATATTAATTGAGGAAGCATGCCTTAAATATATTTGAGATTTGTTCTTGACCTTTTCAATGTGATTTGTGTATATCCAATCATGGATGGTCAGCCTTCAACAGGGTGGTTACCAACTGTATAATGTTCTTGCGTTGTGACACCACATCAGTGAATAAAGATGACTTTTACCTTGTTCTTGCAGGACATATACTGTTTGGATGCTGATGGTGCCCTTTTTGATGCTGCATTACTTTCAGCAGTTGCTGCCTTCTCTCATTGTAAGAATTTCCATCATTTTTCCTTTACATGCAATAATTTAGTCCTTGTGGTGGACTAGCAAATGTGCACAAATAAAACATCTGATTTGCATATAATCCAACTCACTCCGAACTTGCACCAGCAAAAGTACACACAACTTACGTGTGAACTTGCCTCACAAGCCTAGGTCATAGCAAGTAGTTTCTCGAAGCTATTGTGGCAGCACAAGGTGCTTGACATGCCCAATAGGCCCAAGACCTTTTGATCTTGAGTATGTAATTGAATATTAGGTAGCTTCGTTTGTAGCCAAATTTGAGCGTTTTTGTCTTTCCTCTTTCGCCCTGTTCAAGTGCTCTTTCTATGCAGTCTAATTATACGCATGTAACACTTTTGATTATATCATAGCATGAGGTTCATAAGCACAAATTTTCCAACCCTTTTGCAGAGCCAGATTTGCATAGCAGCCACGATTTCTTGTATCACTATCACTCACAATTTGCACCCTCAAAGGATCTTTTCCTATTTGTTATATTCTGATGGTGTTTTAGTTAGAACATGTGTGATATAGTGCTTTTCAATCTTGATGAACTTGTATTGAGGAGGTGGGAAGAGTGGGCTGGCTGATGAAACAATCTAATTGGATGTTCTGCTTTTTATGTCTTCAAGTTGGTGCCAATACCATATCTGGTCCATAGGCATTAGAATAAATACTGTCCTAGAGAAGTGGCAGCAAAAAATATGGAATATTGTAATTGCTGAATGGACCAAGGTGCCTGGCTATAACATTGTGTTGGTGCGTATACTAACATGATAGTTTTACTGAAATTTTCATCTTTGGAAACAATGCATGGCTCTGGAATGGTATGGTATCTGTGATGATTTTCTGAGCTATGAACAGATAACTTCTTATATCTTTTCAGGATATGGAAAGTATTTATGACATCTGGATTATTGGAGATGAGGTGGAGTTTGTTGTCAGCCTGATCTTTTGTTGGCCTTGATAACTTCTTTCTGTTTTGTTTTCATTTTTTATTTATTTATTTTTTTGTGTTGAGTGTTTTCCCCCCCTTTTTCTATTAGATGGGACACTGTTTAGCTGTCTCCAGTGGTTGGATGGCTGAAAAGAGAATTTGTCTCCTTTGGTGGTTATTGAACCAAACCAAGCCTTGTGTCCCAATCTCCTTTGTTGCTAATGTTCTTGTTCTGGTTTATCGAGGCATATCTATTTTTCAATTTGGTGTGACATTGTATGTTTGATGGTGTTCAACTTAACCTTAAAAAGTGGGAAACAACAGCAGACTGTTCTTTTGTTCTGTTGACATAAATCTTCCAATATTTTGGTAAATTCTTATTGAAAATTCTGACAATCTGGGTGAATGGGTAATGTTAGATGGAAAGACCTAACAAAGGCCCTGCGGGCATTATTTTGCGAGTAGCTGCCAATCTTATACCAAATACAGACGCAAAGAGGAAGGTGGATCCAAACGCAAGGGCATCCCCTATTTCCTTCATCTCTGATGCTTGCATAAGAAAGTAAGCTGCAGCCATTAGAGATCCACCAGTAAGGCCTCCTAGAAGCGATCCTTTACTTCCTGTTCTTGTATAGGTAAAAAGACCACCAACAAGGAGAAGCACTCCGTAGGCTGCAGAGGTAGCAGGGGCAAGGTCTCCGCCCAGTTGAGAGTTGCATCGATGAAAGGGACCATTAGTAGTACAAGTGGACTCAGAATTTCTGTTGAAGAGGAGGCATTGTCTTTGTCTTCGTCTTCCCCTGAAGCTAAAGCTAGGGCTTGTGGAAGAAATGCCCGAAAATCTCCTTCTTCTTCCTGTACTTCCTCTCAGATCGAGAATCGACGACAATGGAAACATCGGAGGCGTATTTGTAGCTGCAGCTGGTATTACTATTAGACACACACAGCGACACTGACAGGACGCCATCGTCCCCCCCTATTGACGGCGGCGCAACCTCCCTCCTCAACCAGGTACCAAACGCTGAACCCAACCAAGTCAGAAAAAAGCAAAATACAGTGTGCTGTCTGTGGTTTGTGCACTCAGCAGGTTGAAGAAAGGAAATTTCAAGGGACGTGTAGAAAATTTTAGCAGACTAGGTTGAGGTCCGGCGGACGGCTAAGGTGAGGTTGCCGCCGGCCGGTGAAGCGAAAAATATTAGGTTCTAAACCTACTCTGATACCATGTTGAAATTGAATGTATAAAGAGAAATAGAGAATTGTATTATTGATGTAATATTGATTAATGTTGTATTTATTACAATGATTCATGATTCCTATATATAGAAGAGGGTGAGTGTGTAGTAGGTAAGGAGTTGGAGTAGGTGAGGTGGTAGTGGTGTAGTGGGTTAGGTTTAGTGGAGTAGGTTTAAGTGGGTGAAGTAGGTGATAGGTTTTAACAAGATGCAACGTTAAGGAAGAATGATACGATCACCATGGGATGTGGTAGTAAAAAAAGATATGAATTTATTTATTTAATTGAGCATATAACCCTAGACAGAGCAGAATGGCGGAGAAAGATTTATGTAGCTGACCCCACTTGAATGGGACTTGGACACAAGGTTTAGTTTGGTTTGGTTATTGTGTTAATTCTTAATTGTTTGATATGTGTGTCCTTAACTTACTAACTATTTGGGTGATTGTAGTTCTGGCATGATTAATTTGAAGGAGTTATCCTTGGTGAATGGGAAAGCTGCTTGGATGGCCTACCTGGTAATGGTTTATGAGATTTGAACACTTTATTTCATTTATATTAATTGAGGAAGCATGCCTTAAATATATTTGAGATTTGTTCTTGACCTTTTCAATGTGATTTGTGTATATCCAATCATGGATGGTCAGCCTTCAACAGGGTGGTTACCAACTGTATAATGTTCTTGCGTTGTGACACCACATCAGTGAATAAAGATGACTTTTACTTTGTTCCTGCAGGACATATACTGTTTGGATGCTGATGGTGCCCTTTTTGATGCTGCATTACTTTCAGCAGTTGCTGCCTTCTCTAATTGTAAGAATTTCCATCATTTTTCCTTTACATGCAATAATTTAGTGCTTGTGGTGGACTAGCAAATGTGCCCAAATAAAACATCTGATTTGCATATAATCCAACTCACTCCGAACTTACACCAGCAAAAGTACACACAACTTACGTGTGAGACTTGCCTCACAAGCCTAGGTCATAGCAAGTAGTTTCTCGAAGCTATTATGGCAGCACAAGGTGCTTGACATGCCCAATAGGCCCAAGACCTTTTGATCTGAGTATGTAATTGAATATTAGGTAGCTTCGTTTGTAGCCAAATTTGAGCGTTTTTGTCTTTCCTCTTTCGCCCTGTTCAAGTGCTCTTTCTATGCAGTCTAATTATACGCATGTAACACTTTTGATTATATCATAGCATGAGGTTCATAAGCACAAATTTTCCAACCCTTTTGCAGAGCCAGATTTGCATAGCAGCCACGATTTCTTGTATCACTATCACTCACAATTTGCACCCTCAAAGGATCTTTTCCTATTTGTTATATTCTGATGGTGTTTTAGTTAGAACATGTGTGATATAGTGCTTTTCAATCTTGATGAACTTGTATTGAGGAGGTGGGAAGAGTGGGCTGGCTGATGAAACAATCTAATTGGATGTTCTGCTTTTTATGTCTTCAAGTTGGTGCCAATACCATATCTGGTCCATAGGCATTAGAATAAATACTGTCCTAGAGAAGTGGCAGCAAAAAATATGGAATATTGTAATTGCTGAATGGACCAAGGTGCCTGGCTATAACATTGTGTTGGTGCGTATACTAACATGATAGTTTTACTGAAATTTTCATCTTTGGAAACAATGCATGGCTCTGGAATGGTATGGTATCTGTGATGATTTTCTGAGCTATGAACAGATAACTTCTTATATCTTTTCAGGATATGGAAAGTATTTATGACATCTGGATTATTGGAGATGAGGTGGAGTTTGTTGTCAGCCTGATCTTTTGTTGGCCTTGATAACTTCTTTCTGTTTTGTTTTCATTTTTTATTTATTTATTTTTTTGTGTTGAGTGTTTTCCCCCCCTTTTTCTATTAGATGGGACACTGTTTAGCTGTCTCCAGTGGTTGGATGGCTGAAAAGAGAATTTGTCTCCTTTGGTGGTTATTGAACCAAACCAAGCCTTGTGTCCCAATCTCCTTTGTTGCTAATGTTCTTGTTCTGGTTTATCGAGGCATATCTATTTTTCAATTTGGTGTTACATTGTATGTTTGATGGTGTTCAACTTAACCTTAAAAAGTGGGAAACAACAGCAGACTGTTCTTTTGTTATGTTGACATAAATCTTCCAATATTTTGGTAAATTCTTATTGAAAATTCTGACAATCTGGGTGAATGGGTAATGTTCTGCATATGCATTTCTGTTTCTCCTCGGGCGTCATCTATATTGACAATTTTGGGTTGGTTCATGGTTCCAAATTTCCGTCTATCTGAGAAGCACGGACACGGACACGGACACGCAAATTTTCAAAAATGGAGGATACAATACGTGAGGGGACACATGCAAAGCATATAGTTTTATATAATTATTATGCCATATTTTTAAATATTATATATTTATTATATGTCAAATATTTATTCTTATTAAATCCATCAACCTTGATATGCTATTCTAGTGAAAAATTAATAAGAAATTTTTTTAAAAATGGGTCTCCAACGTGTCCCAAGTATCCCTAGCGTGTCCGACACATGTCTGGAGCGTGTCCGTGTCTGACACCTGCCCTTGCTTCATAGCTGTCTATGCATATTCCACCTTGGCTTGTTTCTGTTCCTGCAATGGTTTATTTATCATTGAACTCTCTTATCTTGCAGTGCAAATCCCAGTAGTTTCTCTGAATGATGATGGAAGAATAGTAGTTTTTTCTGAGGAAAATGGAGGAAAGTTGGAAAAGGAGCCAGTCAATAAAGAGAAGAGAAAGCTCAAGCTGAGTAGAATCCCATTCTCCTTAACATGCATACTTCACAAGAATTACATCCTGGCTGACCCTACAGCAGAGGAAGAGTCCATCATGGAAACTCTTGTAACTGTGGTATTGGATTCATCTTTTCAACTTGTATCTCTTTACAAGCCGGGTGGACCAGTTCTCGCATGTACATCAGCTGTTCAGGTTAGTTTGCACCTTCTAAGTTCATATTTTGATTTGGCCTCAAGTTCTCAAACATTATGTTGTATGAGGCCACACCAAATGTACCAAATATGGTTCTGTATTTCCCAAATGTGACTCCCACAATATAAAGAAATCCAAAATTTTTACAAATTAATATGTAACTTTTATAGCGCATTTAGGCTGGGTTTGACAATTGCTTTTTCAGTAGCGTTTTTTCTTTTTTGTTTTGTTTTGTTTTGTTTTTGAGAATTTAAAAAGCTGATATGTTTGGTAATTGCTAATTTTTTTGTTTTGTTTTGTTAATGGGAAAGTTGAGTTTTTTGGCCTTACCTAAACAGATATTTTTTTGGCTTATTTAGCCAAAAAGCAGATTGTTTAGCTTTTACCCAAACAGGGTTTGGAATACTCAAATGGTTTTATACTTGAAGAGTTGTATTTCCTTAAGCAACCTTGTTGGAATGCCTTTTTATTTATATTCATACTGAAATGGGGTTTGCTTTTGTCCATCTTAAATGGTAATAGGTGGACTGGTTTTGGATGAAGTTAAAAGGACCAGCCTGTCAAGTGTATATAAACTTCTTTCTTGAAAACATTTGTTTTGACTTGACTTTAAACTTCTAACATGTATATGTAACACATTTGGTGCCTATTAAGACTCGTCATAATAACTTTGTATGGAAGTACAAATGAATTTGGGTACTATCTGCTAATGAGGAAGGCTGTTACGGTTGCAGGACTGTATCGCATTAACAAGACAAAGAGTGAAAGAACTTCAGAAAATTTTGAATGAAGCCATTTCTGATATGGAGGTGGACTAGGTTTACAATGATAATGCCCCGCATATGGCAACATTGGATTGTAAGCTACTTTATTTTTAAATCATTAATGTTTATCATCTCATATTTCTGAGATAATGCTGGTAATTTTTTTAAAAATATTCTCAATAGGCAGTGTAATTAATCAATTTTGGTTGCATATGTGGGAACACTTTCTCTTGTGCATTTTAAGAGTGAGATTAGCATTTTTACTTGTGAGAGGTATAACATGGTGGTGATAATTTTTGCTTATTTATATTTTTGGTTGAAATGTTGAACATATAATAATATGCAAAAGTTCAAAATATTTAAGGCATGATTGCCAGTGAGGAGTTTTGAGCATATTCATTCTTATTAGCATGAAACATGCATTTTATGGAGCGATCGTGGTAAGTACTAGTTTTACTGTTGTTCATGTCAAGAACTAGAGGGGTCAGCAAGCAAGATTTGCTTATAGAACCTGTTGGTTATGTTGGTGTTTGCTATGTGCATTTTTTGTTGTCAATATTGTTGATTAGAGCAGTGATGCTCTCTGCATGTGCGTGCATCCTGCAATCTACTGACACCTTTAGAATAGCACTTAACTGATGGATTTTGTGGTTTTACCCCATTGAAGTTGAGACTCTGCCTATTGATTTTAAGGTGGTGGATTTGAACCTTAAGACAGTCACTTTGTGAAAATAATGTCGAAGGTTACCCGGTCTAGCTTTCTTAGACCTCTTTCCAATAGGGACTAAATTGGATGTATCCTTTGAACTTTAGCAGCTTAGGTACTTTGTACAAGGCAATAATCCTCTGAACAGTTCTCTTTCTCCAGACTTAATGAACTTGCTCAACGACCCATTGTGGGGCCTTGGCATATCAGAGGCTAGTGTTATGTCATTTCAGAGTCAACCCTTTCGTTCTTCACAATTCATTGAGAAATGGTGGAAGAAGTGTCTCTTGACTCTTCAAACTCACATTTTCTGGTATTGAATGTAACTAGTTTGTGTTGATGAGAAATTATTATCAAGGGCGATGTGATCCTGTACCATTTGAAGTTTTATTTTTCTTGGGCAAGTTTGGATCTGCAATCTGTGGAGGAAATGAAAAAAAAAAGGGAAAAGGATAAGAAGTACGCAAAACAAGGATGGATGTAAGATTCTAACCCTGGGGGTGGACCGATATGTAATTAAAAAAAAAACACAAAATTATATCATTAGATATTTTTTTAATCATTGTATATAATTATAAAAATATGATCAAAATACAATAGGATATGTGCTGAACTTGTTAGAAAGTCATCATCTATCCTGTTTTTACCAACACATGGAGCAATTTAGAAACAACGTTTGAAACTCAAAATGTTTCAATGATATTTAGTTTTACAATTGAAATTGAGAAGTTTTAAGGATATTAAATCATAGTTTACAATTGAAATTTCAAATGCAATTTTTCTTGCTCTGTCAAGTTATTGTGAAACGAAGTTAAGAACAGAAAGGTCTAACAACAGGGGTAATTCTGGGGTTAGACCATATAAGGAGCCGAAGTTTCTGAGGTCACCATTATGTGGTTGTTACATAGTAGAATCATTCAATCATATAGCGTTAAGTTACGGATTTACCCACATGTGGTGGATTCAAACTTACATTTCCGACACTCTGTATGGTTTGTATAAATTTAGAAGGTTTGTCCTTCTAACCATATGTGTTGTTGTCCGGATAGCAGGTCTTGGGGAGAGTGGAACTTGGGATTTCAGCTTTTACGTCCCACAGTCTTACCAAAGTGCCACACCTATTGCAAAGTTAAGGACAAGTAACTTCATTACATGCTCTTTAAAGCGACTGATCAATTTGTGTAACTATTTTCAGTTCTTGAATGACTGATGAAAGAAGAGTTAAAAACAGAAGAAAAATAAGAAAGAAAAGAAGAAAAAAAGAAAGAAAAGGTAATTGAAATAGAGAAATAAGAAGAAAAGAAAGAACTAAACTAAAATTAAAAAGGTTAAAAATGGAGATTGAATTGAAGAGAGAATCAAAACAATAAATAAAAAGAAAAATTCAAACAAATGTTATAAAAAAAATTAAAGGTTAAAAATTTTAATTTTTTATGAAATAAATCGTGGGGAGGAAGGTGAAGTCATATAATTTTGAAATATTCATAACTAATACTATTATATTTACAGCAATGGTTGGTGGCCCGAAATTCAGTGGCTCGAATGGCTCGAAACTGTTAAAACGACGTCGTTTTGGGCGTAAAACAAGCCAAAACGACGTCGTTTTGGCAGTTTCAAGTCATTTGAGCCACGTTTTTTGTGGCCACCAAACATTTTTCTTATATTTAAGGAAAGTTTTCGAGACATTGGGGTGAAGGTTATCCTATTCAATCCCTCCCTTGGTCCATCCCTATATACATATATACATAGAAACTAACTGGGCAAAAAGTAATGTGAGTGTTTCTGGTTGTTTTCGCTTACACTCATGTGAGTGTTACTAGTATTTTTTTTGCGATTGATTGTGTGAATTGGTTAGAAATAAAGAGAGAAAGCGTCTCTTTTAAGTATTGAGTATTCAAACTTTAATTTCTGGTATTGTAAAAGTCATTATTTTGTGTGTTGATTGTGAAAAGAAAAAGAAAAAAAAAATAAAAACTCATGATTCTATGATATATTCTGAAAAATGGTTAATGCATTGGTCAATGAAGATTGAACTGGATGGGTTTCCCACCAAAGCAATCCTACTGGGAATATTATGAATTATTACTGTTAGAAACATAATTTGGATTTTGAAAGTATTCACCGATCTGAATTGTGCTCTAGTCAAAGTCACCGTCGTCAATTTCTGAAATTTGTAGTCTCCTCCAATCTTCAAGGTTTTTTTATTTAATATTAGGATCGAGTTTCTCTCAGATTTAAATTTAAATTTGAGAGAATTTAAGGATCCATAAGATTGACAACAGATCCCGTTTCTAAAGTCGAAATCGTTTTTGTATGGTCCTCAAGATATATTATCCATGAAAAAAATTAAGTCGATCTGATAATCGTGGTATTTTCATTTTTTATCTTCAAAAAAATGGATAGTCAATTTTCAGAAACATACTTGTTGTCTATTTTTTCGGAAACATGCAATAAAATGAAAAAGATTATGGATCGATCTAATTTTTTTTTCATAAATGATATATATTGAGGGCCCTACAAAATGAACGGTTCGGATCATTAAAACGGAACCAATGGTTGGTCCCACGACCCCCTCAAATTCTCTCAAATTCATATTTAAATTTGAGAAAAGCTCAACTAATTAATATTAATACATATATTCATTTCCATGAGAAAATGTTGTATACCAAAAAGAAAATTAACTTGATCGAGAATTCTTATTAAAAGCATTCTTTGTAAATGTTGCCAAAAACATTGTTTGCTGGTCTATCATGCAAAAATACTTTTATCTTTCTAGTATCTAGTGTTGTTCAAAGTAGTATTCTTTTCATTTGCCTTGGGAAAAAAAAAAAAAAAAATCATCATTTTCAATTTTGTATGAAATAAGATACATAATTCAAAGTGTCTCTTCCATTGGAATTCAATAATTTCCCTATGAGGAGATATATATGGCTGGATTAAAAGTCCGAAACTCAATTTTTTTAGTTAAACATTGGATTATATATTTTGTTAGATTATTACTCTAATTGCAAAGTCATGTCCGCCCAACTAAACACGACTTTACAATTTTATTCATAGTTGAGGAGCTCTAGAGTAACTTCAAGATCTCTTTGAGGCTTTTTTTTTAAGTGATTATCTCTCAAAATCAGCACCTATTGCTCGAGCACGCAAAATGCTACTCCAGCATGTTTCAAATTGAACATTCTGATCATTCTCCCCGCTCGAGCTCTCTTTTAGCTTGAGTGCAATTTTCCTCGAAATTCCGAGTATATCCTTTGTTGCATTGAAAGTTTTCAACTCTACTTTATATTCGACTTGTTTCCGTCCAGATTAGTTCCAAATAAAAATCTAAATCTGATGATGACTGAGCATTCAAAAATAATTACTACTTAAATAAACAATTACAATTGAAATATGTTTTGTCTAAAACAAATTGCCAAACATAACTATAGAATAGGATTGACAAAAAAAAAAAAAAAAAAAAAAATCATCATTTTCAATTTTGTCTGGGATAAGATACATAATTCAAAGTGTCTCTTCCATTGGAATTCAATAATTTCCCTATGAGGAGATATATATGGATGGATTAAAAGTCCGAAACTCAATTTTTTTAGTTAAACATTGGATTATATATTTTGTTAGATTATTACTCTAATTCCAAAGCTATGTCCGCCCAACTAAACACGACTTTACAATTTTATTCATAGTTGAGGAGCTCTAGAGTAACTTCAAGATCTCTTTGAGGCTTTTTTTTTTAAGTGATTATCTCTCAAAATCGGCACCTATTGCTCGAGCAAAATCCTACTCCAGCATGTTTCAAATTGAACATTCTGATCATACTCCCCATTCGAGCTCTCTTTTAGCTTGAGTGCAATTTTTCTCGAAATTCCGAGTATATCCTTTGTTGCATTGAAAGTTTTCAACTCTACTTTATATTCGACTTGTTTCCGTCCAGATTAGTTCCAAATAAAAATCTAAATCTGATGATGACTGAGCATTCAAAAATAATTACTACTTAAATAAACAATTACAATTGAAATATGTTTTGTCTAAAACAAATTGCCAAACATAACTATAGAATAGGATTGACAGCACTAACAGTTACTAACATAATGTGCTTGTTGAACATGTCCATCCACTCAAATGTGTTTAATGGCTTTGTAGAGGTCAAGGTCATCGACTAGTGAAACATGTAGTACTCCAATCTCAAGTGTCTAGTGCCTTTGTAATTAAAGAGGTCGAAGTCATCAACTAGTGAAATAGTGTTCAGTCTTAGGTATGTTTAGTGCCTTTGTAAGGGTCAAAGGTGTTGTTTGATGTTGAGATGTTTATAACTTTTAATCATGAGAGTCTATAACGTATTGTTTAATATATTTTCTGTTTACAATTTATTAAGTAAAAATAACTTAAATAATATGATTGTTTGCAAGTTGGGAGAGGGGTTGCTTTTAGCTTTTATTTTCAGATTATCATTTTTTAATTTATAATAAGTTACGCCAAACAAGCCAAAAGTCATTAACTTATGAAACATGTAGTATTTCAATGTTGAAGGTGGTTTCAGTAATAGCAAAAGTGCTACACAAAAGAAACCCGATAAAAATTCATTTTTGGACTACATTCGGATTGCTTAGATTTAACCTAATTATAGGTTGTAACCCTAAGAAAATGGTGTT